AGTACTAAATAATAGAAAGTTATATAAAAATTAATATACTATATAAATTTTATTTAAATTTGACCTAAGTATTGTTTAATTTCGAATACTCGTTAAACTATAGAATGTTGAACTTAAATATTTTAACATGATTGTACTTATGTTAGTTACATATCCCTGTTAACGATATAGTAAGTTAATTACAAAACTAATTCCATTAACCTATCTTTGTCCTTTACATTCGTACCCAAACACTGCTTAAATATTAGGTACATCCCAAATTTATTATGAAGTTCGGTAAATTTCACGGGTTTAATATGGGATCTTTGTTTCCACCCCTTTATCTATCAAATGGAAAATACTATTACCCTATTCGTAACTTTAATTGAGTTCTAGCTTATTGCTATTGACATATTTTACAATACTATTTCATATGTGTTTAACATTTTTGAATATTTTTTAAAATTTAATATTGTAAATGCATTTTAAAACTAAAAATTAACTATAATTTTATAAGTTATTTTAGTATAAAGTATGTCAATAATAAACTGACATAATAAAATCATAACATTCATCCATTGCAAATAGTGAATACATTAACTAAATATGTCATACCGGACTAGGGGTTCAGTACAGAATTTTGTTACAACAAAACTAAAACAAATACAGTTTTGTTATAACAAAACTCAAACTCAATCATCTACTGTATGTATACATCGATTAATTATTTTTCTACTGAGAGTCACATATTTTTCTCAGTTTATATGTATGCTAGTAATGTGTTAGAGTTTATTTTATAAAAGATTAAGTGGTCAGATTATGATGAAGTAAGTAAGATATAATAATTAATAATTGAATTCTTAGATAGAAACTATTTTGATATATAAATGAAAACAAACTCGCAATCAAGGCATTGATACGAATAAAATAAACTTTGAAATAGACTGAATCATAATAATTAATATAATATATAAGTACAACAATTATAATTGAGTAGTTGAAATAGGTATGCATACGTCTAATAGCACTAAATTAACTGGATCGTTCTCATTGCCATAGTCACTAATGGGATCAATTATGTCATTGAATGATATTGCCTTTATAACCATATAATAGCTATAGGTATACCTATAAACAATAGAAACATAATAATAATATTATATTATTATATAGACTGTGTTGCACTTTATTTAAGTGAGTATTAAATTAGTATCAATAATGTCCAAAATAATAACCTGTTTAATTTTCTATTTTGGAAACTAAATCTATTTTTAAATTAAGAACATCAATGCTTACTTCGTTATATAAATATTATATATAGAACCCATAAAATATTGGATCCGATGTATATGAAAACTGGTTAAAATTTTGTGCGGAGGATTTGATGATTATTACACGTATAAAAGGATTTTCATGTTTAACATACAAATAGATTTTGTTCTCAATTAATAGGTACATGAGATGTATTCATTCTGGTAATGAGTTACAATTAATAATATATAAAGTAAGGCCGTATTTGGATGTAGCAATTTTAAAGTGAATTTACTATACGTTCTATGTATCTGAATGTTATTCAAATTGAAAAGTAGAAGTAACTTTCCCAAATAAACACAAATACACATTAAAGAGTTTTCTAACATACAGTGCTAACGTAGGTACAGAATGGGCATCGGAGGGTATCATATAAAATTGTACGGGACATTTTGTGTTAGTCGCAACGGACGCGAAAACAACTTTCCCCATTATTTCTACTCCGACCCATCTCTTGGTTTGATAAGGGTGCGAACAGCAAAAGTAAGCGATGTTGATTTCGTTTTGATTTCTCCGCAAAGAGATAATAGCAGTTTCATGAGTTGAGTAGATGCCGCCACTGGCGCACGAAGCTGGATATAAGTGGATATAACTGGTTATTGGGTGGAAAAATATGAAGATTTATCTCGTCGCATATGCCAGTTGTGCTCAAGTAAGGGAGAATAGATTTGAGTTCATTTTATTTAATAACGTACTTTTTTTATAATTAAGTCAGTATCATTTTATACATAATTGTGTATGTAACTGTATATTCTGTGAGAGGAACAATAAAGAGTTTCATTTATTCATTCATAAATAGATGTTATGCTTAACTTTACCCACGTTAAAAAGTTAAAAACTTTTAAAATATTATAGAAATAAATTAAATTTCTAAAATAAAAGTAAGCTAAGTAGTTAACTATCTATCGAGTGAAAGTCCCATCAAAATCAGTCCAGCTACGATGGGCTAACTGACCTGACCTCATACTCATCTTATCATCCTCTACTGGTGATTCGCCAGCGTATATCGGGTGCACCATTCATTCATTATCTGCACTAAAATAAGTGCGATTGTCCACAAAAACTTATTTATGAGCCCATGATACACAAGCAGTTCAATTACGTTTCAATCACAAACTAGTTCATAATAATAAATGCGAAACTACATCTGTCCGTGTGTTTGTTATTTCTCCACGTCAAAACGGCTCAACGGAACTTATTGTTTGACATGTATATATATACCTATATTGTATTGTAGCATAAGGACTACAGGATATATTTTATCTAAAAAAGGCAGATGGTACAAAAAAGATATAAAAATAGACACATACAACTTGTGTAGTCCTTTAGTACTTAGATAACAATGTGACAAAACTTACCCCGTCTTTACGGTACACAGAAATCCGGTTTCCTGATACCGGAAAAGCGACACGAAGTAAACAGTACAGAACTTCTTACTCGAAGAAACTATGAATGTCTATAATATAAAATGTATTTTACTGATTTTATATCGGTTACATTCTATTTCAAGGAAAAATTAGCTAACTTTACCATTTTTTAATGGCATTAATTTCTGTATACTTATAGATTTTATCGACCTACTTTGCTTACACAAATTGAAGCTTGTTTTATTTCTGTACACACCTCTTTGTTGATACTAGAAACGTTCTTTTTCCATGGTTCTTATAATAACTATCCTCCTTTCAGTAAATTTTATAACAATAAAAATAAATCTTCTAATGTTAACGATGAAGAACCAAGATGATAAAGAACAGTATTCAAATTCAAGAATTATTTAGGATTTCATCATGTAGGATATTTTAGCCGCTTATGAACGGCAAGTTTTTGTAATTAATATGTTTTTCCGTACCATTCCGTTCAGTATACAGATTTAATTAAGAATTTGTTATTAGAATATTTCATTGTAATAAATAAAACATGTATAATTGGAATGGCAAACAGGTATGCACCTGATGATAAGTAGTAATCGTCGCCTATATATATGAACAGCATTACAGACATCAACATGTGAAGCCCGGGATACCACTCATGCGTTGTCATTCAGACTTAATTCATTCATATACATAATTAATTACTAAAATGTCATGGCACCTGTAATTTCACTTGCCATTCTCAGCCTTCAACGCAAACACAGCTTCCAAAGCAAACTGTTTCTTCGCCGAAATATGTAGTCAAAAGTATTCACACGGACGATTTCTAACAAATTCTACTTAGTTAATTTATTATATATTTTAATTTTTTAACTGCTTGTATTTTTGTTTACATTTTTATGACTAGACGAGTAATCGGATCTTAATTAAATTTGACGTGACGATATATTGTACAACGAGAATGAACAAAGATTATATTTTATGCAAAAAGTTAGACGAGGTCGCGGGTAATAACAAAATATGTAGTACACCTCCGTAATTACATATTACATAGGTACTAGTTTGTACCCACGATAAATTTAAAGAAAAATTAAATAGTTAGCTCACGTTATTTATTTATATCATAAACACAACTTCTATACTGTTTAAGCTATTTTCAAGTAAATTGCAGAAGAGATTTTTTTTATTTAACAGGAATAATAAACGAGGTTACAGACCTACTTATGTTAAGTGGTAACAGTCGCCTATATACAGGAAAAGTAACTTGACATCGAGTTACCATGAAATGTTCATGGTAATACTCATATGTTGCCATTTAGACTAGGGTCATCTCTACCTGTTTTTTACCTTTTCACGACTAAACAATTGGACGATTCTAAATGTAAATATAAAGTTGTGCAAGGGTGAACATAGGCAAACTTTTATATCACAAAACCAGATGAAGTCGAAGTTAACACCTGTTTATTACATTGTTGGTATATGTATTATGAAATATAAAGAGTTTTACTTTTATATTATTATTTTGTGTAATCAGGATCAGTTTCAAAATGAGTAATCATTATTATTAATTTCACCAGGAACTTCCATGTTCTTGAGCACAAAACAACAACGTGTAACATATACATACTTAGATTTTATCTATTGCCAATCGTTGTTTCCAAATATTTCAGCTCTAGCTAAAAGTTATGTTCCGTAATTTTATGAAAAATGTGAGTTGGTTTCTTTATAACTTAAATAATTATTCATATTAATTTAATAAAAGATTATATATGTATATATATAATTTAAAAGATAGATATATTCGAAACATAAAATAATATAAATAATAGGAAAAGGAAATAAATCAAAACAAAAGAAATTTCGAAAATGTGTGTATTTCATGATGTTTTTTTGATAATAAATTCTTTATCCATATCATATTTACATTTATATACAAAAAATCATAATTATTTACAGTCTTTTATCGTATTTGTTTAACAAAATAATTGTTAGTTATATAAATGCATCTGTACACAATAAGTTTTAAACTTTGGCATTATAATAATTTAAGCAATTCAGATAAAAAATATTTATGTTAAATCATATCTGTACATTAATAATTATTTACAACGGACCGAGTTTATAGTTCTTCTATAAATTATTATCGCAGAAATTAGGAAATTCATATCTACTAAAATATAACTAGCAGCCTAACTAATTATTCGAATAAATGCAGATTCAAGTCAGGCATCGTAAAATCCGTCACATAATAAATTATAACATGAAACAACTTACAAATAATTATCACTTTTATTGGACTAATACGCTTAAGCGTTGCAAGTATGGACAGTATCTGTTTACCTGCGTTGGAGCATACGCTATGCCCAAAGCTGTGCGTGCGGTGGCATGCGGTGTGGGTGAGGATCTCGTGCGTGTACGCCGGCCGGCAGCGACAGCCCGTCGCCCAGCAGAGGGGGGAGCTTGCCCGGCGGTGGCGGAGGGGGCGGCGCCGGCGCCCGTCCGGCCCCCACCGGTGACACCGACGCATAAATATTCACAGTGGAACGGTGATACTGACACTTCCTCAAGTCCGGCATTGCGAACCTCAATTTTTGCCAGAACTGCCTATCTCCCCATTCTATACACGTATTTGCTTTCAAACACAACCTCAACTCTGGATCGATGTCTCTATTTGGTAGCTCGCCTAGCAATATTATTATCAGTCTTCTTCGTCTCTCTTTCAATACCTCGTGTAGTGCCGTCTTGAATTCGAAACGACACCATTCGTTGTTGATGAAATTTTTAGATAGGACTACAATAGTCCTCTTAGATGATTCTACAGCTTCTATAATTGTATCCGCTACGTACGCTGAAGCATTGAAATCGCGGTAATGTAGGCAGAGTCGGAAACTAGGGTCCGTTGATTCTAGGCCGGGCGCAAGCATTTGTGCAACGAATGCTTCGTCTTTCACGCTATAACTAATGTAGGCGTCAAACAGCCGATCTTTATCAGCTTCATCATCAAAAACTGTACTTTTATAACACATTCGAAATCCACAATGATAATAAATCCATACACGCAGCTCACGACGCCAGTAAAATGCACCACATATTAAAATAGAACTTAGAATAAAGACACAGAGTGATATAAGTAATAAGGGCAGGTAATCATTAATTACTTGATTTTCTATAATTGATGAACTCCCACCAACATGGCTGGTGCAAATAGTAGAGTTAAAATCCGCCATATACGGGCCTACTGCATTTGTCACATTGTCAAATATACAAGTAATTTTATCAGCGTCTTCCACTTTACCAAGGTTATTTTTAAACCAATTTCTAAATTTATGCATGTACTGACAGTCGCATGACCACGAATTACGAGAGAGGCTTATCTCAACCAAATATGGATTCATTGTGAATTGCCACACAGCAAATCCATAAATGTTGTTTCCTTCCAAACGTAGTACCTCTAAACGCCTTAACTCGATGAAGGTTCGATTATCGATATAGTGTATTTTATTATCTTGTAAATGTAGTTCTTGTAGATGTTCCAAAGGCGAAAGTTCGAACCCTAATAATTCTTTGATATTATTTTTTTCTAAATGCAACACTGTTAAGCGTTTTAGTCCACTAAATGTATTATTATATAAAGCGTCAATATTAGAGTTATTAGCGTACAAAATTTTTAAATTCTTACGTCCGATAAATGCATGACTTGTTAAACCACCAAAATTATTACCGTCTAAATATAATTCAGTAGCGTCCATAGGTATACTGTTAGGTATTTCTGAATACCCAGCAGCAGAACAGTCCACAATATTCGCTGACCACGGTTGATCATGATAACAAGTACAGTTAGACGGACACGTCATTTCACAATCACAAGCATCAAAATCACAACAATGACACAAAGTAAAACAGTGAGTTTTGTATGTACACAAAAACTGCGATGATTCCGCTTCGATCAGTGGAATATAAGTTTTTTCACGATTATATAATAATTTGCAATATATACTCTCCAAGTCCATCACTCTAGGATGTTGCCTCAAATGATCTAGTTTGTTGATTCTTTGAAGCCATTCCATTGTACAGTCGCACTGAAATGGGTTTCCACCAATATAAAATTCGGGCAGGGGTCGTCCTGGATCAACTGGAGTAAGACGAAGAGCATTCAGATCCATGCTGGTTATTTGATTTGCATATAAATCGACTCTCGTTAAATTGGTTTTTCCCACGAAAGTTTGAGCTTCAACTTGTGTAATTTGGTTATCATTAAGAAACAGCAGTTCTACGCTACTTGGAATGGAATATGTGTATATTTTTGACATTTTATTAAAACTTGCATCTAATGTTTGCAAGCGGAGCTCTTTATCCATGCGATAGTTATTTCGTAACTCTTTGATGTTGTTACTGTGAAGATCTAGCCATTGAAGTCCCTGAGGAATAACAGCGTAATCAAACCATTCTAATTGGTTATCTGATACGTTTAACCACAACAGAGAAGGGATATTTACAAATAGGCCTTGGATGTCTGTCAGTTGGTTTGCATCTAATCTAATAGCTTGCAGATTAGTTAGCGTTTCAAAGGCATTTATATCGATACGTTTTAATCTATTTCTAGCTAAATTCAAAATTTGAAGAGATGGTAAATCAGAGAATACGTCTTTGCTTATGTTTTCTATTTTATTTCCAATAAGACGTAAGCCATATACATTATGCAAACCCACAAAGCCGGGCTCTTCCAGTGATGTTATCTGATTTTCTCCAAGATCAAGCGTCCTAAGCAATCGCATATTTCGAAGCGCAATCGGTACTTGCTTTAAGCGATTTCCATTTAAATTTAAATCTTGGAGAGATGACGTATTCTTAAATGCCTCAGGATGGAGCTCTTCTAGTTGATTATTGTCTATTGACAAAAGTGACAGTACATATAAACCATTTAAAGCGTATGCGTCGATGTGAGATATTTTATTGTACGAAAGTATAAGGGTGTGCAAATTATTCATTGGTGAAAAAGTGTCAGCTGCAATGTTTTCCAGCATATTGTGTTGAATGTTTAAAATTTGTAACGTATACAAATCTTTGAATATTTTTGGATCAAGTTTAGTTAATCTGTTATTAGATAAATTTAATAACACCATTCGTATTAGACCCGTGAAAGTATTTTCATTAATCCAAGTGCTCGTTAAATGGTTATTAGATAAGTCCAATGCTAATAACTGATCCAAATTAGCGAAGAGAGTTGGCGAAAGTACACTAATAGTATTATTTTGTAAATAAATTTCCTTGATGACTGGTCTGCAATCTTTGAATAAATCTAGTGGAAGAGCGACGATTTTGTTGTTTGAAAGGTCTATTATTTGTAGTTGCTTCAATCCAGATAAAGCTTTATCAGCAATCATAGAAATTTCGTTATCGTGTATGTGCAGTTCTTTTAGTCTCCGAAGAGCCATGAAACCATTCTCTGGCATTAATACGAAGTGATTGCTTGAAGCATCTAATACTTCTATATCCAACGAGCAAGAAGTATGTGATAACGATGTTACTGAAGGAAGTGGTCCATCTTGTTCACTAATTAGAGCTTGATGCATAGCTCGTTCTCTGAATCCCAAATCACTGACATCTTGAAGTCTATTTGAAGATACGTTCAAATAAACTAAATTAGTCAAGGGACAAAACAAATTTTCAGGAAATGACCAAATATTGTTAAAACTGAGATCTAACTTTTCTAATTGCCGAACTGCTGTAAAGCTTTCTGATGCTATTTCTAAACTCATCGCAGCCCATTCTGTGTTTTTTGTTCGAATAGTTAAATTTCTGAGGTCTTTTAGACCGGATAATACGCCGGGCGGCCATCTTCCAATTTTACAGTTATCCAAAACAAGTTCACGTAGTTTCACCAAATGCGCGAAACTACGATCATCTAATGAACTTTTATACATCATTTCTTCATTACATTCTATTCTTAAAGAGGTCGTATGTTCCGATGGAATCACACTGAAGTTTGTTGTGTCAAATTCACTATTTATTGTACGAAGTTTACATGTGAGAGAAACTTCATGTGCATCATTTGGACCTCTTAGCCACCATTGACAATCATCAGGAGCCTCATATTTCAGCGGTAAAGAGCTCTGATCAGCAACATTCAATCCGACGATAAGCCATAGCAGAATTTGACCAAAGAGTCGTATCCTTATAAAAGTTTGATGAAGAGCCATTGTGGGAAAATTAAATATCAAGGAAGAAAGAAAACAAGACACAGTAGGTTCAGTGTCATGTTTTTTCCGTCGGCGTTCGTTTGTTATGTCCCCTTGCCGGATGTGAGGTATCCATCAATTTATAAAGTCTATTTGAACACCAATTTAACACATAATAGTCCTTATTGTGATAAAGGACATGACGATGGTCTTTATTTCACTATTTACACGTAATGTTCATAATAATGTAAACAAAATTTTCACACAAACTGTTTCTAATGCTGAAACTTTCAGATCACAAGTAACATCATCGGATATAGTCGTTTTATGATTCAACTTTACTTATAATAGATAAAGTCCGTCAGTTGACAAATACGACGTTTGACGATAATCGTGTTTTTGTAGAAACGTAATGCCGTTCAAAGCGTAGCGTGGCGCGACCGTGCCTTAACGCTCTCACGAGTCGACTGAATACGAATAGAAGCATTGCAGTCGAGTAGAATATACGTTCCCCCCGAGGAAGGGACGCGGGGTGAGATGAGCCGATCGGTGGCGACTGTTCACGACGACTTATTACAATAAATTATTTTTTACCGAGCTTTAAGCGATCGGCTCTACGTATTTCAAACCGCAAACTTTGAATGAAAGCACGCCATCAGCTGTTTTGAGAAATAAAACAGTTTCAATTGTAATATGTATGCGTAAGGTTTACATAAAAGTATTATAAATTTAAAATTAATTATCCTTCTATTATTACAATGTACATTTACAAATTTTGAATGATTTGAAAATGTACATTGTAATAATAGAAGCCAATATTATTTTGTTATATTCTATAAAACATTAGGTAATGTAAGTTTTACATTCCAGCAACATACACTGTGAAATAATGAAGTCAATATCTATTGGCACATTTTTAGTTTTATTAATCAGATTCCATAGACTTACCGAAAGTGATTTAGTGGCTTACCTATATATTAAACATAATCTTTAACTGGAATATATGTGAGATTTTGTGAAAAGTTCCAGTAAAGCTTATTAATATTTTTATTGGTATAATCGTTTCCCCAAAAGAAATTAGAATGAATTCACCGCAACTTGAATAGGAACTTTGTGAGGCAACAAAGAAACTTAACGCGCTTACCTACAGAGAAGTTGGATTAAAATCAACCCTTTTCAGATGTTAAAATTAAAAAGCAACTATCGCATAAAAGTATTAAAAGCTTAAGGTAACAAAATTTCCGAATACTTTAACAAAAGAGTTCTCTGTTCACGCTCGTTGGACCACACTGGCTGTCAGACGACGGAAGATATCATTATAATCCTTTTAGTTAAGTTGACTATGAAAAGACAGATGCCTTCATAGCATCCGTGTTTCTCTTTTGTCACTTGGCTGATGCTTTAATTCGTGACTTGAAATAATAACGAGATGTCGTATAGTTGTTACTATTTATGGATAACAACAATAGATTATTATATTATGTGATTTAAAACCAAAGTAATAGCTATACTTTTACTAAATATATTTTTAAATTATTAGTGTCTGTTATTGTTTCTCAGATCTTAATAAAATCTAATATCTATTACGACATAAGATAAGGAAGGGGTCTTTTGGGTTATAAATGCTTCATTCTTTTGCTCCGTTACGTTTCCTATTCTACTGCGTGGTTAAAGTCCTCTTCCAACGAGTTTATTGGTAGATAGTACCTATATGTTGGGCAAAAGAATAATTGGGTCCTACTACTATTACCTTAAGTAACTACAACTTATATTATATATATATATTTGACATCTCACTTTAAATCAATCAAGAAACTACACATTAGATGGATATGTCTCACAACAACAGTAATTTTTTGTTTGCGAATCAATAAATCCAAGGTATTTACGAAAATTTAGAAACAATTCTGAATTCTGTTTATGAACAGTACTTCTCGACCTTATATTGTACTTTCTCGAACTTACTCTTTTATTCCTATACTTGTATTGTTGCATACACTTGCATATTTTTTTATGAAATTGCACCCTAATAATGAACTGTGTAAATTCACTTAGAGCTACAAATACTTTTTGAGTTAGCTACTTTATTGATTGTTAAATATGTAGGTACTTACAACTGTCAGGAATATTTGAAATGTGACAAAATTAAAACTGGAATGTGCTATTGTATCACCCACTGTCATTATTATTTCACACAAAAAAAATAAAAAACATGTGTTAATGTTTTGTTATTCTAGAAAACATCTATCAAGAGGACACCAAAGCGTGTTAAAGTTATTACTCTCAAGTGTTTCACATCATAATCTGTCAGCTTCAAATGAATAATGATATATCGATCTCACTTTCATTCGCCGTAGGGTTTATTTTTAATGCATATCGATTCTGACGCAGTCTACATCATATGCTTTCCAAAAGCTTCTAATTGTTATTGTAAAAAATACTGAATATCCACGTTAAATTAATGTATGTTAAAATCACGATAGCTCTTACAGGATTCATTTCTTGAGTTTATATTACAATAATCTATGCATTCCAACTTATTTGATATATTGTCTGTAACAAAAATCAATGACCTTGAAAACATACACATGTAGAGCTGAACAATTATTATTCGATTTAATCTCCCTTACTTTTTTCCTATTTGGACGATTACTTTTTATTTCTAAATTGTATTCATATTTTCAAACAATTGATAAAGTCTCAACAATCTATCTTCTTAAACTAAGAACCATAATATTATTAAAAAATAATAGGAATACGTTGATATGTCTTTGCAGTTTGTTACAATAAATTAAATTACATTAATTTACATTTGATTTTACTGTCTACTAAAGCATATAAAGAGGTAAGCTAAATATTTTAGCAAATAAAATAAAATATTAAATAGGTAATTATTACTTAAATATGACTTAACATTATTTTATCATATAAAACGTGATATTCATAATAAAACAATCTTCAATGCCCCAAAGAATATAAATTCTATTTATTAAGAGTCTTTCTAATACTTTTGGATAAAATAAAAGTCAGAAGTTTGTTCTGAACATACAACGAAAGAGATCTACGTATATACGTGTAATTAGATGTTTATTTGCCTTGCTCTCTGACTCTCTTTCTTTAAATTCATAATAAATGTTTGTGCGTGTTCATTCGCGTAAAATTAATTTAAAAGAGTAAATGGAATAGTAAAGCCAGAATATAAGTAAAATAAATAGGGATAAAAGGTTATAGACGATAAGCCTATCCCATTTACATTAAAATATATTATTATTTTAATGCAGTAACTACACAAACGTTTTCTTAAATTTTGTTTTAAATACATAGCACGTAAAATGAAATTTAAAAGATATAATTTAGTACAGAAACATATTTTGCAAATGGAATAATCCACCTAAAGGGATTTATATATAATATTAACAATGTAACATTGTTTACATTTACAGTAAAGATTCATTATATATGTCGTAATAAAGTTTATGTACATATACTGTAATGGAACATCCTTTTCCAGCGATATGAAATAAAGAAAGTGTAACAGCGGGGCGCCTTATACCCTAATGTGTACCAATTTTTCTCACCAAAGTTATTAACTTACAATATTTAATCTGTATCTACTTTCACGCTAGATGATTTTAAGGTTTGTTAGTTATGTAAATTCTAGAACTGTATTACAAACGATAAAAATTGTAAATAGCGGTTTTCTACGGTTAAAATTCAGACTTACACTAAAAGACTGCAGTTTTTATGTTTATTTATCCTGTACGTACAGGATATGTAGGCATAAAATAGAATGAGTAAAATATTCACCCCGTGTGTTTTCCACAACGATAGCGATACAAACACGATAACACGCGAATCCTTGTTAGCATAGAAATTACATTCGAGATATTTGTAGATATTTTTGTATTTACGTATCTACGGCTTTACTATTTTATTGCATGGGATTTATCAATGTGGTATGGTATACCTTCCGTATTTTAGGTTCATAATTATTTATGTACCATTTTTATTGTCATGTCTATTGATTAACGTAGGTATATATAGGTTCCTTACAATGCGTCTATTACAATATCAAATTTGTAATATTGGACTATATCTACATTTTACGGTTCTCATAATGCAATTGAAATGAAATGTCATTTTATATAAAAAAACCTTTTTCATTCATTCAAAAATCATTCACTTCTATATTATAAATGCATAATATTTAAATATAAATATTATGCATTTATAATATAGAAATTAGTAATTAGTTTTTACTAAATATATTTTAATATAACACATGTTGATATTTATATTATTTTCATTTACTTTATTACATTTATATTAATAAATAATAACAAATTAAAAAAAAACTTTTAAAGTTTTACTCTGCGAATTTCCACTGTATGTGTGGGATCTAATAATTTTATAAGATTTCATTAGACACGCATTAAACTTTTTGATACTAAATCTGCTTTCATAAATTTCAATAAAAATACCATTGACTAAAAAACATATCGTACTAAAATTATAAAATACACTTCCTGACGGAAGTTCGAAATTCGTAATATTTCCTTCTTAACCTTTAGTAACACCTCTGTGTTGACAGTCACGGCTACCAATAATAGTATTATATCGACTAACACACAATGACTCAAACCCAAGAAGGGTAAACACACCATTCAATATAAAATTCCATATTTCACGAAAAAAACCATACAAAATCAAAATATATGAACCTTGACAGAACGCGTGAATCACTAAATTAATATCCTTGAAATCTAATCGACGCAATTAAGAATTCTTTTTATTATACCGCAGAATATCTCTGTCCTTTACTTTCTTGTAAACATTTTGTATTTCTCTCTGTCTTGATGATTTTTTAAACATTTTATAAGGTGGATATGTGACAGGGGTTGGTCCGCAATATTTCACGTGCGATGTTTAGAAGGCACCCAAGCTCAGGTAGCAAACATTATCACTACAAGCGCGGTTCATAACTAAAATGATTCTTTAAAAAAAAAGAACAGAGACGGATATTGCGCAGAGTATAGTTTTCAATCTTCACTATTTAGTTCACTAAAAATATTTTATGTAAGCAATATTTTAATTCTTATCCTCAGTTAAAATATGTGCTAGTGCAAAAAAAAGGTAAGCACCTTTTTTTTTATTAGGTGTGAATCGAAGTAAATTAAATGATAATGTTATGTTATATTAAGTACTAAGTATGATTTAAATTACACAATATTGACTCTTAAAATGTTGAAAATACGTACACGTTATGTTATGGTATAGCAGCTACGAATAGAAAAAGGATAATGGAAAATATCTACCAGAAATATGATATAAAAATATTAAATTACTGAATTTGTGGCGGACTGTCGTTCACACAATACTTAACATACTACATTATTATAATCATACAACTACTCTATACATTCTATTAGTCCAAATTCTCGACAAAACTATGAA